GTATGATGAAGCCATAGAGCTGTTTGTGAAGATGCTCCGCGGAAAGGGATTTAAAAATGTGGATGATAAAAACCAGATGTGTTTTTCAGTTTCGGGGATTCTTGTTTGTGTTCTCAGAGCTTGTCTACAAACGATGAAATTTGAACTTGGGGTACAGGTGCACGGCTGGTCGTGCAAAATGGGTTTCTCAAGAAGTGTTGTTTTGAGTAGTTTTCTGATCAGTTATTACGGGAGGGCGAAGTTTCTCGTGGGGGCTGAGAGAGTTTTCGAGCAGGAACGTTTTAAGAATACAGCTGTGTGGACGTCTAGGATCGTGAACTTCTGTAATGATGATAAGTTTGAGGAAGCTATTTGTGTCTTTAAGGATATGGGGCGGGAAGGAGTAAGGAAAAACGGGTACACATTTTCAGCTGTTCTTAGGGCTTGCAGGAAAACCGGGTATACAGAGTGCGGCCAGCAGGTGTATGCGAACGTGATAAAATTGGGACTTGATTCGAACAGTTACGTGCAGCGGGCATTGCTCGACTTGTAGAGAAATTGTGGTGTTGCGTTGTGATGCAATGATTATGAATTTTGCTCAAAATGGGCTCTGCCTTGAGGTAATTGAAGTGCTCTATAAACACGTGAAGAAAAAACAAATGTAAATAACGATGCATGGGTTCAGAGCATGTGAATCAGTGTCTCTAGTCAAGTGAGAGTGTTTTGTGGGAGCAAGGTTTTAAAAACCACAAGGGTGAAGTGAATTTGTAAAGCGTTATTGTAATTATATAGTACCTTTGTAAAATTGTGTTCAAGGGTATAGTTTGGTTGTCTTTACCATTCTAGAACAGGCAGAGAGATTTTGGGTCCTTATGGTAATTGGATTTTGTAAGAAATTGAAAAGCCAGTTATTAAGTCATCGATCGTTCGATTTAATGCGTGGATATCATTTCAGGTTTTTTAAAGGTTTTGATATTTTAAGGATTAAATGTACTCTGTTCGGGCCTTGTGCCGTGATGCATAGGTTTGCTAAAGATGATGGAGCTCATATGTTGGCTTTGTTTTAGCATTCATTTGTGGGTACAGGGTACTTCAGGTTGTTCTAAAGTACGAAGAACCTTTTCATGTTCAGGGCTGGATCAAGCTGAATTGTATAAAATAGAGTTGATTTTTATTTACCTCTGAACTATGTTAAAGTTCTGATAATTGCATTCCGTTCATTTAAACTTCCCAAACCGCCATACAAAAATCATTTTTTCGGCCAATGTACCTTACCAAACAAAACCGTTTCGACCAGTTAAATGCCTGTTTTAAAAAAGCAAAATCGAGCCCAACCAGTCATTCATTCGAAGAACAAACTCCAGACTTGATTTTTGCTTTGTGGACTATAAGTTTTTGCTTGCATTGACCAGAAAATTTTGCAGAAAAATACTGAATTGATGTAGACTCAAAATGACAAGTTGATTATAGATGATTTTTGTCATTATGGTCAGAACGACGTTAAGAGGACTTCATGGACGGACATGAACCCCGACCGTTGGCACTCGGCGTGCGAGAAGCTTCAGATAAATTAAAGTGAAAATGATTGTTGAGGTTATGAAATTATGGTTTATTTTCATTTAATTTGAATTTCACTCTTGAATTTAGGATTTAAGGTTAGGGTTTTCAATTTTGAGAGAACCTGAATTATGTGTTTAATTAATATTTTTGTTTACAATTTAATGATTTGGGGTTAGGGTTTCATTATTTTAAGAAAATTGGATTTATGTATTTAATTCAAGCAATTCTTTAGTTGAAATTACACTTTAGAGTTAGAGTTGAATTAGAGATTTAGGGTTAGGGCTATTGATATGATTTTATACACTTTATTATTATTATTATTATTATTATTTTTCTTATTTTTTTAATTGATTGGAGGTTAGAGGTTGTAGATACCGTATTTGGATTTATCATCCGATGTGTGCAAGATCTGAGTCGATTATCCCGGGACTTCAGAAACGATTCGATAGTCCTGAAGAAGAGTTGGTGCTCAAGAATCTTAAAAATAAGATCATGTTGTTGGTTGTGTTACATGTCTCTTGGTTTTGGATAAATTTGCATATAGGTAATGTAGGACGATGTATTGTGAAATAAAATGGATTATTTGTTGCATTTCAAGTAAGTAATGTGTGTGATAGACATTCTGATTGATAAAATTAAGCTATAAAGACAAGAAAATATAACTCAAACTTGGTGCTCATAAATGAAGTTTCTAAGCATTTACAATGACTTCCATAGTCCAGCAAACCACTTCCATTACCTATGAAAAATAAGCATAACATCAAATAGTACCTTACCTGCATGAACAAGTTTCAAAATAAGTACATACCTTCAAGTTCGAAAATGGATCGGTTTCATCAAATTTTTACAAAATATGTCTAACAAAAACATATAACAGTCATTGTTACCCATAGTAAGACACTCCATCCACAGAGAACATCTTGCTTAGGCTTTTGGTTGAAAAAAAAAACACATCATTCCTCCCGACTGCTTGGCTAGCTAATACCCT